GAACGGTAAGCCAGCGTCCAGATGCAATGTGGAAGACGTGTCGGAGTGGACGGACTACTTCGATCGCCTTTATAATGCCTCAGCCTCCTTCGATGAGGTGCAGGAGGCCCGTGTCTGTGCCATTCTCAACTGTATCAATCTCGGTACGGGCTCCCAAGTCGGGGCGGCGTGGCGTGATTCCGAACCGGTGCATGCTAGACGGTCTATGGCCGACACTATGAATGGTCCGTTCACTCTTGAAGAGGTTGAGGCGGCTTTGTCGTCCCTGTCTAATGGGCGTTCCCCGGGTCTGGGTATGGTTCCGGCCGAGTGCTACAAGTATGCCAAGCGAATCCCTCGTGAAGGTGACGAGGACAGGGTGTCTGTCAATGTTATTGCCCCTGCGATTCGAGACCTTTTCCAGCACATTTGGGATACAGGGGATGTGCCTGACCAGTTTTGCGTGGCGTCTCTCAGTCCGTTATTTAAGAAAGGCGACCCCAGGGTCAAGGACAACTACAGGGGTCTAGCTGTGGGATGCGCCATTGCCAAATGCTATGCCACGGTTCTCGACAGGCGGCTGGCAGCTTTCGGGGATAAAGATGGTGTCCGGTGCCGTTTTCAGGCTGGGTCCCGTCAAAAGCGCAGTACAGTTCATCAGTTGTTCGTTGTTCGTCATCTTAAAAGTCGTTATGAGCGGCCCGGCAGCAATCAGGCCCTGTATGCGTGTCAGGTGGATTTTGAGAAAGCCTTTGATAGAGTGCCCCGGGCAAGCCTGTGGCAGCGTCTTGAGGAGAGGGGTGTGCATGGACCCATGTTGACGGCCCTTAAAGCCAGCTATGAACGTGTTCTCCAACGGGTCAAGGTTAACGGTCGCCTAGGGTCCATCTTTGCCTCTCTGCAGGGCGTGAAGCAGGGGTGTCCCATGAGTCCCAATTTGTTCGGGTTCTTCATTGAGGTTATTGCCGACTACCTTGAAGCGAGGGATGGTATGGACGAATGGTTCAACACACGTGCACACGAATGTCCTGTC